GCTGACTTTCTTTACGGTTTGTTTTCTTCCTACAGTTTTTTCTATACATTTTGTTATTTTTTTTGGGCAAAGTCAAACCGCAATAAAATTGACACGTTTCAAATGCGCAGGATCCGTTCAGACGAACCTGGTCCAGCAGAGCAGACCAGAGCAGAGCAGACGAATCGTGTACATAATGTAAGCCAAATGGCACTCGACATGCGCACAGCTCGCAGCTCGCAGCTCACACTCCAGCAGCCAGCAGCCAGCTTCAGCTACTCGCCACACCAGTGATTGCTGCAATCATTCTAGTTTCATTATCTCAGCTGCAGATTTATTGTCTGCGACCCCAAACACTGGACAGCCGCAGCATCTATCAACAGCAATTGATTTTATTTTCGCTTTATTCTAGACTCCTGCTCGCTCCTCCCCCCTCCCTCTGCTTTGACTGGTCAAATTTTATGGCAAATTTCGTGTTTTTGCCATAGCAATTACTTTGCAGCTTATCGCGCAGCTCTAATGCCTGGAACCTTCGACTCCAACGGCCCGGCTCAACCCTAGCCAATTGCAGCGCAGCGAATTGCATATGGAAATGTGAAAATAACCAAAATTTTTGCTGACATCATAGACAACCCCTCTTAGCCCTGCTTCGCGCCGCTATAAATTTGGACTTGGCCTCATTTCGCTCAGTTCTTGTGATTGTTGCGATTATCAGTTGTTAATATCCATGAAAATGATGAGACCGACAGAAAAATGCGCCCAGATAAGCGTGGACGCATGGCTCGTTAATGGACAGCATGAAAATTGGCCAAATGCCAGTTCCTCCCCCCTTCCACTCCACAATAGCCTAAGCTACCCCAGCCTCGCCCGGCCCAAACGAATTATAATAAGTTAGACGCATATTTATGTTTCATGTCTTTGTTGAACATGTTTTGTGCGTGTTATGACAAACGACTGACTAATTGACTAGCTGTTGTCCGATTGACTGACTGACTGACTGACTGATTGAACGCTTGATTGGACCGCTGTGTATGCGTTAAATGTGTGAAATTATTTGTGCGCAGCGGCATTATCATTTTACAAAGATGTTTATTCATACGACGACAGCAACTAGACATGCTCTGTGTGTGCGTGTGTGTGTGTGTGTGTGTGTGTGGCAACCGCAAGTGATTGCAAAAGTTGCCCAAAAAACAATACAAAGCAACAGCAAACAAAGCTCAATTGGCATCTGCATAAAAACTCGTATCTACTTTATATACACTGTGCTACAAATTCAAGGCAACTCAATATATAATTGGAATTGTATTATTAGTGATCTAGAATCGCAATCTCATATATATATATTTATGATATGTACATATCTTTTTACATATATATGCAGTCACATGTCTCTTATGAGAATTGCTTAGAGAGGCGCAATGAGTTGAAAAGAACTTTTAAATGATATGTCAATATGTGTTATATTATATCTGATTAAATATAGTAATATTAAATTAAATATTAATATATGTATATCATTATAGTATATATTTATATAAGCTGGGCGCAGCATAGCTCTTACCTTCTTGCATGTTTGCAAGTATATATATGTCTATAAACAGAGATCTATAGGTCCTTTAGATTATATATACTATATATACATATACCTATTAGATTTGCTAGCTATAGCCACTTCCGATATAGCTCTCTTTCAACTTCGCCTAACATATAATCAGCTATTCCATTTTAAAGCTGATAAAGCTGCTGCATATAGAAGCCATGGCTATCAGATTGTAGGTATATAAATATATATACTGATTATAGCTTAAGTTGTGTAACGCAACTGTGTTGTCTAGTGCTAGAGCTAGTTCCTGTAGCGCAATGAATGGAACAGCTGAGCTGACTAAACGCTGGGAATGAAGCCAAGTTGTATAACACTCAAAGGGCTGAGCTCTGATCTCGCCGAAGTCTAAGCTACAGTTGTGATGCTAGCTGTGACTGGGACTGTGACTGGTGACTTGTGACTTGTGACTTACGATTGTGACTGTGCCATGATCACTTTATATTCATTGACACTTAGTGTGAAATTCGTACATCATAAAGAGCGGGCCTAAGAAGTGGATGTCTAAATTGCGGTTGCCCCGAACTAACACACACGCAACACACACACACACACACACATACACATACTTCTGGTTACAAAAGCTGGCTTTTGTGCAAATGCCGACGGTTTTGGGAAAGTGGGCCCGACAGCCAAAACAGTCGACTGGCCAGATGATGGCCATAAAGCCCAAGTCAAACAGAGTGAGCCGACTGAGGCGGCAGCCAGCGAGGTGCTAATTCACTATTAAAAGAAATCAGAAGAAGAAGAAGAAGCAGCAGCAGCAAAGCGCAGTTAAGGCTTAGCTCAGCCTGTTGTATTCTCGACTGTCGAAGGGTTTCGCTGTCTCAGCTGCGCTCAATTTCCCACTCATCATCTCTCATCTCTCACTGCGCGCACCAATAAAACTTAATTTTGTTTGAGCATCGCTGGAGCAGGGGCGACGCAGATTGCCTCCATAAATGCGTTTGGGCTGGGCCTTGAGCTATTGAATTATGCATTGTTTTTTTCCTATTTATTTCTTCTATTTATTTTTTTCTCATCTCATGTTCGAGTTGTGGGAGAAGTTCTCATGAAGTGTCGGCCATTCATTCGAGTGCCAAATGCCATTGATTGTGCGCAATAAAATGCCGAATCGCGTCTCGAATTAGATATACCCGCCTAATTGATAATAATACCGCATTTATATTTTGTGTTGGAAATCTGAAAATCTGTTAACTTGTTTTTGTTTCGGGTACGAATCGCGCAGCTGCTCCCGCTCCCGCTGCTGCTTGACAAATGCTGCTCGCTAATCCACAGCAATTCGCTCTCTCTACCCCTACCCCCTCCCCCCGCCCCTCGCTCAGTCTCTGCTCTTCACTTCTTTTTTATGGCGCATAATTTTTCAATAAACCTGCCTGCTAATATTTTCAGCACTTGGCAAAAACAACTTAATCCCCACATGATTAATTATCAACAACCTGCAAGCCGGGCAGTCACACCCCTAAACAGAAATTAATCGACTTGTTTACCCCGCCCACCAATGCTACACACACACGCACACCCCTCACACTAGCTCAGCCCACAGTTGAGGCCAAAGCCGTTCCGTTTGCGCTTTTTAATTTAGTTGCCTTTGGACCCAAGTCCCCTGACCCAGGTCCCCAGGGTAGACTCACTGTTTTTTCTTACTAGATGATACCCTGTAGTTAGAAAAAGGGGTATAATGAAGGCTTAAACATTAATCTAAGAGCTAGCAGAATGTATATATGCCATAGTAATACATCTCTCTGAGTATCCTTCTGCCTATCGATTTATCGATCTATATATAAATATAACCATTTGTGTATCTATGCAAATACCGATATATTCTTTAGTGTGGCAAACAGAAGACATTTTATCTTTGCAGCTTTACTATTTTATCAACATTTTGATAGCTCTCCAAATTTTCAAAAAATCGATAAATATCTCTTTAGAAAATTTAATTCTTGAACACTTATTCTGCATGAAACTAGAGTTATCGGATTCATGGGTTTGGCTCGTTTTTATCTAAGCCTTCCAGAACTATGTGACAACTTTACAGTAATCGATAAAAATCGATAAATATACTTGTACAAAACTGAACACATTGCAAAGCTTAACATAGCTCAAGATATTCAGTACTAAAGGTGGGCATACTTTTATGCTAAGCTTGCTGCAAGTCAGAGGCAATTTGACTATAATCGATAAATATCGATGGCGTAGTTTTCTTTATTTTCATCCTCAATTTATCGCCCACAAATACTTCCTTAGCAGTCGAAGCTCAGGCATTTATTTTGTAATATATGAAACTTATGAAATGCCTGTTTACAGGGTATCAACGTGCCTAGCACATGAGTGCTTGTTGTCCTTTTTTATGTGCGCTATCTGGCATTATCAAATCATAAAATGTTGCCACTTGGCTGCCGCGCCGAGATTCCCAACTGCATCCCCCTAAAAAGGCAACGAAAGGGGTGCGAAGAACATTTTTTATGCGCTGTCAAAACATGTTTTGATAGAGCGCGCACGAGCACACATATACAGCAGAGATACATGAATATATAGTCACGGCAGATAGACATATACACATATATATTTAAGGGTTCAGCTAGGTGGGCTTTGCTGGCTTTGATAAGGCGAGGCAATTGACACCCTTTGAGCCAGGCAATTGAACAATTTGAAACACATGTTTCTGGTCCTGGCAATTAAATACAAATTTGATTAGAGACGAGGCCCCTTTTGTGTGTGTGTGTGTGTGTGTGTGTTTGTCCTTGTGCCAATGATTTCTCAATTATGACAATTGACAATGACAATGAAAACAAACAAAACACGGCACAAAGTGCAGCAATTAATTAGCAGGACGAGGACACTGATACGCATTGACAGGCGATGCGAGCGGCCGGAGGCAATCTGACGTGACGCGTGGCAGGGTGGCCAAATGCATGCTGCTTGTGGCAAGGACATTGCTGCCAACGTACAAATAAAAATGGCAAAGAAAAGGATATTTGGCACACAGTTGGATAGGCGCTGCGTGCGACAATCAGGCGGAGTTCGCAGTTGCTCGTCCTGCTTCGATTGCATTAATATGCCATTAAGGACTTGTGCCACATGCGTTTGCCCCGCCTGTGGGTGGGCCCCGGCGCAGTACGAAGGTCAAGCGTGCCACACGACACGCTCTCTCTATCGCTCCGTCGAGGTCAAGATCAGCAGCTGCTGCAAAACGTTTACTCCACATGCAGCCGACCAGGTAAAGCCAGCACTGGCCCAGGTAAGAATGGCAAAGAAATTTTGGAAATTTTTGTTTTGCATTTCATAATTTTATTTTGATTTTGATTTTGGATTTCGTTGAACTAAAGTTAACTAAAATTAAAAGCTAGTTTACAATTTATTTACAACTGATAAATAGTTTCTACTTCCAATTCTGCACACTGAGCAGAGGCGTGGGAGGGCTGGGGGTAGGGGGTTCCACAACAACAACTAAACACTAATTTGTACAATTGACAAGGGGAAGCGAGCGAGGGCGACTAGGAGATTGGCCTACGCCTCAGTCTTGTAGGGCTTGAACAGCTTGGGCTTGGGCTCCGCAATGACTGTGTTGCCACTTGGTGGCGGGGACATGTCCGATGCCGGACGCTTGGCACTGGGCATGAGCAGACCAGGCGCTGGCAGCGGGCTGCTGGTGGTGGCGACGACAACGGCGGCGGAGCTGCGCAACGGACTGAGACTGCGATCGAAGACCTTGGTGTGATCGGAGCCAACGGGACTCAGCGACAGCGTGGATGAGTGCGGCGACGAGGACGATTGCAGATCCAGAGGTGGCGTTTGCGTTTTCGGCAGCTGCAGCTGTCCGCTAGCATAGCTGGGCGGCATGCTGGCAACGGCGGCGGCGCCCAACATGGCAGCCGGATAGCCCATGGGCATGGCGGCTTGCATGGCGTGCGAGTGGCTGTGCGGATGCATGTGCGGTGCTGGTGGTGCGGGCCGAGCGGGGATGTGATAGGGCGCATAACGGTACTGGCCATATGGCGAATGTCCCGGCACTGGCATTGTGGGCATGCCGGTGGCCAACATTGGGTTGGCCGCGGCAGCGGCGGCGGCAGCGGCAGCGGGTGCATAGGGTGGATAGGGCATGCCCACGCTATTGGCAGCCGCTTGCAGTATGGAAGCGGCGAAAGCGGGGTCTGAGTAGACAGCGGCATAGGGCCAGGCGACGGCAATGCGTTGGCGCTTGTCCTTCATGCGGCGGTTCTGGAACCACACCTTGATTGTCGACTCGGGCAGATTGAGCTGGGCGGCCAGCTCGCAGCGGCGCGGGCGCGACACATAGTTCTCCTTGTAGAACTCCTTTTCGAGACGCGCCAGCTGATCACGTGTGAATGCAGTTCGATAGCGACGAACTGACGGATCAGCGGGTATCTCGGAGTTGCGGCTGCCATTCAGTGAGTTGTCTGGACTGGACAGGCACTCTATAGGGAGAAGCAAAGAGTGGAGAGAGATTTGGTTAGCCAATTGTCGATTGGATCAGCGTTTGGAGTGTGGTACACTTACCATTTGGTGAAGGCGGCGGCGTTTGTGGTTTGCCGTATTGTGTTGAGATCAGATCGACGACCAGCGGCTTCTGGTCAACGGCGCTGCTGCTATCATGATGATGGCTCTCCATGTTGTAGGTGCGGTATCCGTGCATTTTGTTAAATATGTGTATTATAATATGTGTGTTGGCTCTGGGCGTTGTCACTATCTCTCCGAATAATCAAGTCACAGTGCTCGGACTTGGCAGTGCGAATGCGAAATGCGAAACGACTAAACGACTTAACGGTTAAAGCGACGATGTTGACTCTGCGATGGTTACAGCTCAAGTGTATCGCTCTCAGCTACCCCGGCTCTCTTTTATACCAAGGCGCATAGCAATGGCTGCCGCAGGCAAACGACCAGCCAATGAGCGTGGATTGTGTTGTGCGGAAGCGAGATGGCAATAAGCTGTGCATTTAATGCTGCTGTTGCTGTTGCCTCGCACTGCCTGCTGCGGTGCAATGAACGATGGTGCTAATGTTGTGGTGCTGCCGCTGCCGCTGCCTTTGCTGCTGCTGCTGCTGCTGCTGCCTTTGCTGCTGCTGGCTGACAATTATGCGACGATGAAGGCAATTACGATGCCGGAACAATGGTACATAAAAAAGGAGCCGGGGCAAAAGCGCAAGCAAAGCGTGATAATGCGCAGCCTGGCGGTGGTCCAAGCCAGCGGCAGTCGCTGCTACCCATAATCAAGTTATCATGGAGCAGCGGCAGTGCTCTCTTGCTCGCTCTCTCTCACTCGCTCTCGCTCACTCGTTCGTGCTGTGAGAGGCGAATGCGATTTCATATATTCATAGCGTATGAGCGAATCTTTTGTTTCGCTTGCCCGCAAGCGGGCAGCGCCACGGGTGCGAACGAGACGTGAGTGGCCCCCTTAATAATGGGATTTTATCGGCTTCATCAGGCAAAAGAATGATATGGCATAATGCACAGAACGAGAGGCAGAGCAGCAAACAGCAAGCAGCAGCCACCCCTTACAGCTCCCGCTCACTCTCTTGGAGTCTGCCATATCGATCGCAGCCAGCCAAATAATTTGCTCTTTTATGAAGTCTTAATATTATGCCGCACGTTTAACGGGCTCACACTTGGCATAGCGAGCGAGCAAGCGTCGAAGCGGGAGAGGGAGAGAGCGAAGGCAATGGCGTAAGTGGGAGGGAGAGTGCTGGCGTCGCAGCTTTAACAGTAAATGAAGTTTATCTGGGCAAATAAAGCAAAACTTTTGGACAACGCCCACAGAGCCCATCCTACACACGCACACACACGCACACACGCCCAGACGCATAGCCGCACATGCATAAACAATGAAATACTTTTGGGGGCGCAGTTGTTGAAACTTAATTTGAAAAGTTTCAGTTTAGTTGCGGCAAACATTTATTATGATGATATAATCATGTTGCCTAAAGGCGCAACTGTACCCAGAGCGCAGTTACGAGGGGCGCCAAGCGAGAGAGGGGAGCAGAGGAGTGAGAGCAAGCTAAAGTGCTGCCAGTTTACAGTTTTTTCTTTTTTGTTTTATTTTCATTTTATGTTTTGCTTGCGTAAGCAAATTCCATACCTGCGCGGGGTTTTGGCTTGTCTTAAGCTGTTTAGGAAAAAAGGCAAAAATAAAGTAAATTTCAGCAAACGCTAATTATGTCATATATGTATGCATGTATGCATGTGTGTGTGTATTTAGCTAATCCTTGCCATCATTATGTATGTTTATGACTTATGGATCAAGCGCGGCTAAAGCCGTTTGCCAAAAGTTTAACCAAGTCAAGCCCCGCGTGCCCTCTCCCTCGTCCATCTGCCTCTCTGTCTAATCCACTAAATAAACAAACAAACAAAGATTTTGCGGGCTGTGTGGAAAGGCCCGTCAAAGTCGAAAAGGGAGTTAAAGTCGCTGCTTAAAACGAAAGTTAAAGTCGCCTGCCTGAGGGTAACCCGGTCAAACGGAGTCAAAAACAATGACATGACATGAATTCTGACTAAATCACCTTAACTAGAGCACGGCGAGTGAGAGAGTGAGTGAGTAGAGCGCTGACGACCTGGCTACACACACAGCATGTGTCCAAAATGCACATCCAATTTCCTAGTTTGTCTCTGACGCAGCGATTGTTCAAGATGCTGCAATAAAATCTAACTCGAAAGTGAAAACTGTTTGCTCAAGATCTTTGTAAAATCGACTAATAATGTCGCTGATGGCAAACGGATTAACGCACCGAACGACTCAATGCCAAACCCAATGGATGGAAACCTTCAACCTACAAATCTCTCTCGATTTCAATTTCAATTTCACTGTCTCTCGCTCTCATTGTTATGCATTACTAAGTAACTCAACCAGTCGTTGTTGTTATTGTTGTTGTTGTTGTTGTTGCTGTTGCTCTTGTGAGTTAGTTAAAATTATTGGGTTATATTGCGCGGCAATTTGCATTAACTCGCCGAATATCGGCTCTACCTAGGCTCCTGCTTCGCGTCCTGTGTGACCTGATCGAGTCGCTGCTTAAGCCCAAGCCTTGCCCACTGCCGAACCCTAGCCACAACCTTGCCTATTGTGCATTCATCTGCGCTTTTGTTCATCTACGCTGTCCGTCCGCCGTCCGCTGTCCGCTGTCCGTGGTTTTGTTCGACGGCAGAATGAGCAAACCTTTTTCCGCAAGCAAATAAACGCGACACTGCGGCAGCGACAGTAAATACCCTTTATGGCGGCTCTGGCATCGACAGCGACAACGGCATTCTCTAACCTTTCACTTCGCGCCAGGCGAAAGTGATCTGAACTGAGCTGAGCTGAGTGTACCTGACCCCTACCCGCTGACCCCTAACCGATCAACGGCGAACACTTTCGGCGCGGCTTGGCTTGGCTTGGCCTGGCCCAAAACCTCAGTTCATGGAAGCCGCCTTTTGTTGCCCTTTTGCCATTTTATTGGCATTTTGCTAGCACAAAGCGCCGATCTCGCTGATTATGCTGATTATGGGAAGTACACACACACACACACATACAGAGAGAGAGTTCATATGCATATGTGTATTATGGCATATATAAATTAAGCCCAGTTTATACCATCATTATTTTGACATTATTTAATCAAATTATGCATTTTCTTTTGACATTGGCTTTAGGAACTTTAAGAATTTGAGATAAACTCTGATAAAACATTTATTAAAATTTAATTGAGAATTTAATTTATTAATATTTTTCAGTATTTTTATCTTAGTCATTCCATTGTCTGCTTCACTAATTGCGTTGGCTAAATTCTCTATTAAATTTATAGAAAAACTAACAGCTTTGTTTAAGCTACGCTTCAGCCATCTATGTTGAAGCTATGTTAAAGCTATGTTAACGCTCTGTCTAAGCTTACGCTTAAGCAATGCAGATACTATGCTTAAGCTATATTTATATGTTAAAGCTTTTTCAAAGCTATGTTAAAGCGACGTTACGTTATGTTAAACTAACGCTAAACCTATGTTAAAGCTGTGCTTAAGCCATGTCAAAGCTATGTTAATGTTAATGATGTCCTAACTTTATTTCAGCTATGCCAAAGCTGCACTCAAACTATGCTCAATTCATGTAAGGCATATATTAAGGTATATTATGAGAGATTTAGGAAGCTTGAGTCTAGAAGTTAATTATTTCTGTATTGGAAAATGCATGTCTAGAAGTTAACGAAAAAGAATTTTTTACACAGCCAAGAAATTGACCATTATCAGAGATTTAAAAATGTCCAAGTCCAGTTATTCAATATAGGTCTCAACAGATGAATTACCAAATTTAAAAATTAAAAAATTAAAAATTAAACGAACATTTTTCAGTCTTTAGTTCTGGCCAGTTTTCCATAGCTGCTAACAGTTCCATGCGATTTACGATCGTAATATGCGCTTAGGGCACGCCCTAATAAAAATATGCCCAGGCTGTTGGTAAAAACGTGGCTTGGCACTGAATTATGGCCACAATTAACAGGTAAATAGGCAAAGCCGAGCGACTACTCTATATGCACGCATAAATGGTGCTAAGTAACCTTCGCGCTGTGCATCTTCATGTTTTCCAAGACGTTTTTCCGGCCCAGCCATAAAAACCCGTGAAGAATTAAAAAATTAGAGCACTCGGCACTCGGCACTCGGCATTTTTGGCTTCGGGGAAAAAAACTAGCGCAGCGAAAAAATGAAACAAAGAAAACAAAAAACTTTTTGATCTACATTCCTAATATACGGTCCTCGGAATGCGCGACAGGACATGGATCTGGACGTGGACGTGGACATGGCCAGCAAAAGAAAATTCCGCGAACGAACCATGGAAACGGCGAGCCCATAAAAATCTGCATAAACATTTATGTACATAGAGCGAGAAAATAAGTTCTTGAACCATTTCTTTGCCACAAACATAACAAAAAGGCAAAACGGGACCAAAAACTCAAAATCTCTACCAAAAATTTATGACAAACAATTTTCTTTTTGCCACACATAAAAACAAAGGAAAAAATCTAGAACAGAAATCTTTATTTTTTTTATTTTCGTTAATTTTTATATTGAGGCAAAGCGAAAATAAGAGCAGACCATTGTAGGACATTCAGAGCAAGGATATGTGGCTCAGTATTCTGGCTGAGCTGTGTCAGGGGGAAAAGAAAGCACAGATATAGAAGAGAGCGAAGAACTGAGACTTGAAAGGTTTTTAATATATTTTTATTTTCAAAAATTATGTTGAATTCTGTGTTCATAAATATTTTAGAAGCAGAAAATTTTGTCTTTAATAAAAATTAAAAAATTTATTAAATCAAATAAATATATTTTTCTGAATTTTGTATACATTTTTGAAGTGAATTGATATGTTCTTAATATAATTAATTTAAATATAGTTTTTTAAATACACATTTTTACATATAATTTTTTAATATATATATATATATATATATATATATATATGGTTTATTTGTAAATATATTGACCTCAAAATTAAATAAAAAATATTTATTTTGCCTTATAATTGTCATAAAATTAATATAAAAACTATTTATCTTAAAAAGAAATAATATAATATAATTGTCAATAATTTTTTGTTAAATAATTTTATATTCGATTTATTTTTATATTATATTTAATTTTATTATTTTTTATTTTGCATATTTTTTATAGCTGTTTTTATGTGCATCAATATTTTTTATGGTATCAACTATCTATGTGAGGTATGCATAGGAAAGTGCCTGGGCATAAGTTTCGTTTGGCACTTGGCAGGTCCTTGGCAAAGGACTCGCTGTTGGGCTGCGGTTGTCGCACAATTTTCGCTTGAAGTTGCACCAATAAAAAGGCGCGTTCGTCTACCTAAAAGATGTCAATTTATGGCAAAACAAAGAGAAGAGAAAAAAATGGCACAATTTTTAGTGGAAATGCGTTCGCGCAATAAAAAGGGACGCGCACGACGCGTCCTGCAGCTAGGAACTGCCGCAATTAGGAGGTTTGTAGAGCACCTAAACAGCTCGGCAGCTAAACAGCTAAATGGAATGTGGAATGCGCACAATGGAAAAAACTCATAAAAAGAGAAACAAATCGTTTAAAAATTGGCTCGCTTTTTGTCGACGCTAACAAAAACGAACAAAAAAACTCGAAAATAAACGAGAGGAAAAAGAGAACACGAGCCAAATAATTAGGTGAGCCATTGTTGGATATTGTGTGGGCGCATAATCATGCGGTTTCTTTTTTAGAGCGGCGAGAGGCCGGAGCGATGGGATTTGCTCAATGGGCAGCCAAGCAGTAGAGAGTTGTACCTGCAGCTGCAGAGGCGCAGCTACTCAAAGATAGCTATTAAGTATCCTTAAGATACTTTTGTATCTATGTGCTGCAATTTGCATAAAGTATATATATCACATGTCCTACTACGATAGTTATAATAAAAAAATATTTTATATGGACTTACATACATGTTGTATCTTAAAGATACTTTTGTATCTATCTGTTGCACTTTCATTCCAACTTTGAATTATAGATAAAAATAGTTATATGAATATATTCTAATATTTCTTTTTTTTTTTATTAAATATAAATACGTATATTTTTTAAATATATTATTTATTTGTTCTATATAAAATTGCGCATTGTACTGAAAATATTTCAAATAAATATTTTTATATACGAATTGCGCTAGATTTGATTTTTGACATAAACAATTTGTATGTTTTAAATCAATTTGTTGGGGTCTTAAATTTTTTTTGTTTATAGAGTATTAATACATATAAAATTCATTATTAATATATATGAACAGGGAAACAATGAAAATAAATTTTATTTTTAAAATCATTTTATATTTAAATCCATTAAAGTTTAGAAAACTATAAACTCATTTATATTTTTCATGATATCTATATTATTTTGCGAGCAGATTAAGATCGTATATATATTTTATATATATCTTTGAACCTGCTTGACACTGCTTATATGGATTCACATTAAAAAAGAATTTATCTTTTTTTAATTAATATGATATACACAATGTCTACATCATTCCTTTTATGTTCACATATATACATAACTTATAGCTTCATTAGCAACCAGTGAGCTGTTCAATAAGTCATACGAGCCATATAATATATAGCTTAAGCAGAGACATAAGACAAATTATAGGCATATTCATGGTATTCCCTCTCTCGCTCTTCTCGCGCTGTCTCTACTGTGCCCTTTCAGCTTCTCGGACATCCATTTCTGATATGGCTGAGCAGAACCGCAATCGATCGGCTACGTTTACTATAAATACAGCGCATTGCGGTATGCGAACCAACAGGGGGCCGGAGTGGTTGAAGCCAACTCAAAACCCACCGACTCGGTGGCCATGCGGAGCTGAACGAATGCCAGTGCAGCATCAAACAAGAAGACGGCGGCACAAACAAACAGACAGATACGCCAACAAACGCTGTTGGGCAGCCGGTAGGAGAGACGCAGTCTCCTGCAGGGCCAGCACTCGGACTGGGAATCCTTGAAGTTGAGGCCTGCAGTCTGGAGTCTGCTGTGTCGGTAGCCGGTAGTCCACCGCATTGACGAATCACATCAAAGTGGAACACCAACTCAGGGTCAAGCTAAACAGACATGTCAAATGTCGCAGAGTCGACGACAAGGAGCCGCAAAGGACACTCAACGAAAAGAACAAGAATAAGAAGAAGAAGATGACGAACAAGCAGCAACATCTTACCGCAGCAAATTCGCTTCGACTGTGCGCTAACAGCAGGGAACACCATAATATTTTGGTTGCTCCGCAGGACTCGCAGAGCCAGAGCGAGTGAGAGAGAGAGAGAGAAGGAGATAGCGCGATAGGCATAGTGTTAGTGTGAGCGAGGTAGGCAGAGTCGCTGCATTTTCGATGGAATTTGAAAAGCGAACAATTTATTCATGAGCAATTAGCCACGGTAAGTGGAGAGGAGACCCGATCGAGTCCTGTGGCGGTCGTCGTGCATCCCGGCGTAAATTTGTGAAAATTAAGTCGTTCCGGTTAGAGCGTTCTAGGTGGGACTTCTGTAGCAATTTTATTTGTATCGTAGGTGTTGTATTTGTCAACATTTAGGCACCAGCATCCTCGCATCCTCGCATCTCTCAATGCTCTGCTCGTCCCAGTGGCACCGGATTAGACGATTTGTGGGCACGCATTTGCAATGCCTACTGCAGCACTAATTGGGCCCTGGCTGGAACTCGATGCGAAGAAAGGTAATTGAGAAATTAGAGACAGAGAGAGAAAGAGAGAAGATAGAGTGAGTTGAAGTGGGAGAGAGAAAGTTAATGTGAGAATTTGCAGGATGTCAACAGAATGTGTTAAGGATGTGCTAATTTTTTGCTAAGCAGAGCTTGCTGGGACTTAGGAGAGACATGGTCAGAGCATGAGAGAAAGAGATGGCATGAGAACAAAGCATTGAGATTATACTCTATACAAAAGCAATAAGAAAGTTGTCTTAAGGCTTTCAATATTTTCTAAAAATATACAATAAATTATATTTCATATTTATATATTATGTATTTATTAAATTATTATTATTTGTATTAAAATAGATTTATATAGCTTAGTAATATATAAAACCCTATTTTTATTTTATTTCTTAATCCTTTAAAAAAATTAGTGTTGCTTATTATATTTTCTTATTAATATTTACATATTTCTCTTTTCATTATAAAATATTTTCCTTATATATTTCAAAATTAAGTCTATATGACTAAATATAGCATATATTCAGTCTTTACTACGCCACTGTCTTCATCGATTTTTAAAGTGTCGCAAAGGTCTCAAAGGAACCACCCCAAAAAACTCAAAGAAAACGCTACTCCCAACCTTACGTTTTTATACAAACGCTACATAAGAGCGTTAACGTTTTAGTACACACGTAATGTGCTTAAAACAACTAGACTTTGCACGTAAGCAAACAACTTCTAACGAAGTGGCAACGCCATATACCATAAATAACTACGAAAAACTACGAGTTCTGGCAACACCAAGCTCAATGGCGCGCACTTTTAAATTTAAAGCATGAGGCTAAAATCGTTTTTTTAATTGCAGCAAAACCAAAACAGCACAATTAAAAAGACATTACTTAGAATTTAAATATAATATGTATAAGTATAATTTTTTTATTATTTATTTATTATAAAACTTTGTCCTTAATATGGCATATTCTTGCGTTTTTTAGCCGCTGCAGATTTACTCTTCAATTGATTGCTGCTATTTGTGTTGCTCGCATCGTTTGTCCAAATGGAAATTATGCCACTTTCGCCGCCTGTGACAAGCAAATCTCTGTTAGCATCGTAAAGACTCTCCCGTACAATTTGTTTGTTGCCCACAAAGTTTGTGAAGGGCTTGAGGGAGTCCTTGACCGAAGCAGTCACAGAACGCAAAATCTCACTAAATAGAAAGAAATTTGGAATTATGTAATATACCAGTTAAGAATTATATATTTACCCTCGATTGATGTTTGTGCCCGCTAGCAAGAATAAGCTATTGTCCTTCATACTGTGAGCATTGATGAGATTAAAATTAGCTGGGCTTTTGCGTCTTATGCCAGCAACAATATCAGAACGTTCAAAGGATAAGATCGTATCACATTCCAAGCATTGAAAGCTCTTGAAATCATTTGTGTGCGTAATACAAGTGATGATATCCTGATCATTAGAATTCTGATGCCAATTGAGCCGATGCACACTACTCTCTGTATTCATTGTGCTGCGCAGAGCCTCATCTTCATCACTTTCCTTGATGTCAAAGACATTTATTAACCCATCTGTGCTGCCAGTGCAAAGCAAATCAGGATATTTGCTATGAAACCGAACCGAAGTCACATCATCCGCGTGGCTTTCATTGTAGACGCCCAGTTGTTTACGCTCTCTTATATCATAGAAGACTAAAAATGCATTATCCAAGAACAGTTTCGTGCCGCAGCAAAGGATTCGGCTATTCGCATTGCGATCGAAGCAGCTGAAGGTGTTTGGCACTGGAGGCGATGTTCCACTTTCACACTCAAATCTCGCTTGTTCACCAGTTGTGCGCAAATCGAAGAGTCGCACGAGTCCATTTGTGGTACTCACCAATAATGTGTTCGCATTGTCCTCCATAAATCGAACGCCACAAATTGTGTTTGTATTCTGGGTGTTTTGCAAAAGCGGCACATGGTCTTTCTCTACTGTAGTTAGTAATCCTCCTTCACTCAAATCGTAGATCTTAACTTCTGTATTGGACAACCCTGCTACAATTCGCGTAAATCCAGTGTCTGCACATAATCCCAACACATAGTCCTGCTGTAAGGACAACACCGCTTCGTCTTTTGTGTATTGGGCGCGAAATTCTTTTGCCAATTGTAGTGGGCTACAGGTGTCCTCGTCCTTAATGTCTTCTTCATCCTCTGAGCTCGGTAGTTCCTTAGCTGCAGCCTCTGTAATGATTGTTGTTAATAACATTCCAATTGACAATAACCATTTTAAATACCGTCTAAATATTCAATAAAACTCATATTTACGTTTAATATACAGAAGAAGAAGAGTCACACGTGCCGGGACCAGGGCTACTCCATAGCTCGCAGAGTTGCATTCGCATGTTTTTAAGAGATATTTTTATGACGTCACATATGTTAAGCTGTTATTCTTAACAGAATTGCAACGATAAACATACGTTAAAACGATAAGTCGATTAAATTTAATTTCAAAAACTGATTTGAAATTTCCAAGATAACTTTAATCTCCATCAAAGTAATTTGAACTTGATTCCAATTTCGAAAAATAAATAGACAACATTTGAGCTTGTTTTACAATTTAATATCGCTTTATAATATTATACAAAAGTGAATTTACAAGAAGCCATTCATGTACCTAATTAATCCTGTGTGTATGTGTGTGTGAAAAATGTTCGTTGAGGTTTCTTGATTGCTTGCTTGACTTGACTTTAGTTATTCTATTAAATATATATATATATATAGGTATTTATATATATAATTTTTACATGCTTTTATGTATATTGGTTTGTCTATGGGTGTCTGTTTGACTGTGCTCTCATACAAATATATATATATGCAAACACTATAATGTACATATATTTATATTAATATGGCGCTTTTTAAACAGCATTATCATAATCAACAAAAAAGGATTTTTAATTCCTGCGCAATTTTCTTTAACATGAAGAACTCTTCCATCTCTATCTCTCTCTCTTTCTTCGGCATCAACAAGCAACTATATATATTCATTAATTAGTTATATGCGTGTAACTATCGATTCTATTATTCACATAAAATCATCGTAATCATCGGTAAAATCATTGCCGTACTTTTGATAGCCATCGATATCCTAAACAAAACAGAAATATTGGTAGTTAATAAATATTATGTTAATCGATATTCAATATCTAGTTGACCTACATCATTTTCTGTGCGCAATGAAACTTTTCCCTTGCCCTTGACGGCAGGTTTCTTGGCATTCGCTTTTTCCATTTTAAGCTTTTCCGAGTGTAAGCTCTCCACACTCATTTTGACCTTCTTAATGTCAGCAGCGCTCACTTTAAAGGGGACATCATAATAATTATCAGCATATATAGTATATATGAGATCGCTTACAGTTTACGCATAAGCTGCGCACTAGATCTTCTATGAATTGTGGAAAATGTATGGATTCTCGGTATTGAGCAACCTTCCAGCTAAGCGTGGCACCAAATTCCTTAAACTCCTCTTTACTCTGCGGATTGAAGGCGTCGAGGCCACCGCCTATACTCGTCACGCCGAATGTATCGAGGGCACTCTTTAGATCCGATTCTTCTTGAATCTTTTGCAAACGCAGCTTTTCCGCCAATTTTTCTTCGGGTGACAATTCAGCCAAACGCTTCTGTTCCTCCTCCTCTTTTAGGCGCTATGAATTTTAATTTTTATTGTTATTATATATATAATATAATTTTAAAAACTCACCTCTTGTTCCTCCAATTTCGCTTTTAGCGCTTTATTGGGTTTAGTTTTGACTGGCGCTTCTGTTTTCGTTGGCTTCTCTTCATCTTTCTTTTCCTCCTCATCCTCCCAGCTTTCCTGAATATTAAAAACTGGTTAGTTTATTTATTACAGTTAAAAGTGCATTTGTAAAGTGCACACGTGTACATTTTGAAAGTGAAAACAGTTTAACAAAAGAGCTAAAAAAAAACAAGTTTAGATTAGAGATGCACGCGTGTTGGATTAGTTACGATACGACACGAATACAAAATCGTAACATTGCGTCGTCGATATAGAATATAGAATATAGAATATGAAATGTTCAATATTTTTTTAAGCAAATTTTTAATACATTTTTTATTATTTAATTTTATATTTATTTAGCACGATATAATATTACTAGTGATGTCGTGCACATTCGTGTCACGCGTTTAACTCAAGCCATCACTGACAGCAACAAAAGTTGCTGAGCAACACAGCAACAATTGGGTTGCTTTAACAATATGGTAGATGCGTTTTTTTTTCAGAAATTTCTTTTTTATATAAAACAAGTATATTTACCTTAACGTCTTCGTCGTCATCTTCACCCTCCCACTTGTTTATGTTGTTAGCTGCATTCGGACGTATTACAATTTCACTCTCGGCGGCGGATTCTGCCAATTATTAAAATATATCGTTTTTGGTTAATACATATATACATAGGTTTATGGGACTAAAATAGCTAAAAATATACAAAAATATCAAGGTTGGGTGCATGTTTCCTTTCTTGTAGGAAATGCGCTCGAGGAGTAAGAGAATGTGTGTGTGGGGGAGAAGGGGAGGTGTTGGGTTAGGGGCGCCACATGCGCAGCGCCCACGTTTTATGTTTGATGACGCATCCACGTGCACTTACCCCAGTCGTCGGCCATTTCAGTAGAACTATTTGTATTTGTTTTTGCCTAAATATGTTGTGCTAAGACGTAGCAATTTGTATAATTTTAAGCAAAATTTAAGCAACAATTCCGTGTGGTTGTCTATGTAAAAAATTTATCGAAACTAGTGATGTATGGAATATTCGAGTATCGATTTTTGTCCCAGCGATATGTATATGTATCTTACATCGATATTTCATTTTATATGCGATATATCGATGTATTAAAAGCCAATTGATAGTTATATAATTAGTTAATTAATATTTATATTATTATTAACTCCGGCTATTTTTGACTCAAATTTAGTGACTTTAAGGCTTGTCACTTTTTAAAAATGCATTTTCAAATGTTCTCACTGCGTAGCATCTACACATTTGATTGTTGAAGATGTAATCGATATGATTATTTGACTTGAAAGTCAAGTTATTTTTAAACATTTTTATGGATAAAAAGTTCTATATATATAATAAAAATAATTGTATTTAATTATAATTTCTTATGTATATAATAATTGCATTTTTTCTACACATATGTACATATAACATTTTAGTTTCGAATATCATGATATCGGGTATATATCGATCAATTTTATGTTGATGGCAGAGCAATCCAATAGGATGGCAACACCTCAGGATCGTCCTCCATCTCAATGACCTTTCTTTTATCCATTTGTGCATTAGATTTTAGTTCTACAATAAATTCATCATCCGTCCCAGCTTCTACAAGTGGATTGGGTTTATGTTTTTCCATATGTCTTCCCATATTCCGCTTCCATTTAGTTATAAAGGAGCATTCATTGCATTGATATGCAATGCCTTGAAGGGGCTTAATCTTCTCGTGAACTTGCAAATGCCTTCGCAAATCGTAAGCGCGCTTTGACTCATATTCGCATTGATTGCATTTAAAGCGTTTCTCTGGCAGCTCCTCCTGCGATTGTGTCTCGGAGCATTCCGATGGAGCTGTGTATATTGTAGCCATATCCAAATCCGAATTTAAGAGCTCGGCATTTATGAGCTCAACTATATATTCCTCGGATGACGGATCATTTTTCACTTGTGCCGACTCATATACCTTGTCGTAGACAGCCTCAAGGGTTTCCTCGCAGACTTCTTCACAGGTTTCCTCTACTGCGTTCTCCACTTCGACATCTTCGTCGGGCTCTTCATGTTTCCGCATATGCCGCCTCATATTGCGTTTCCACTTGGTTAAGAAATTGCATTCGGAGCATTTGTACGCCATGCCATCAACGACTTTTACTCTAAAATGTGTTTGTTTATGCCGACGCAAATCGAAGGCTCTATTCGATGTGTAGCGGCAGAGCTCACACTTGAAACGCTTCTGTGATTTTCTCTGCGGTGCCTCATTAGTCTTCTCCAAAGGCAGCTCCAAGATTACATTAGTGTTTAGTTCCTCTACAGCTTCCTTTAGCTCATCATCATATTCACCTTCCTCTGCTTCTATAACTTCCACTATATACTCCTCTATAGTCTGATCCTCCAGTTGTTTGCCTTGCTCCTCCTCCTCCTCCTCCATCGTTGTTGCCACACTTCTTTTGTGTTTCTCCATGTGGCGTCCCATATTGCGTTTCCATTTGGTTACAAATTGACATTCGCTGCATTTAAATGCAGTTCCCTCCACTGGTTTCACCCGTTCGTGGCGCTGTTGATGGCGCCGAAGATCGAAGGAGCGATTGGTTGTATAGTTACATTGTTCACATTTGAACGCTTTACCTCGCGCATTATCCAACATTTCGTTTAATTTGCTTTTGATGATTTTGTTATTTACATTCGCTTCTAAAACAGAAAACATTAAGATATTAATATTTACAGTCTTTCCATTAAAATACAGAATTTATACTTATGACCAATTGTACATCACACGGCAGTCATATGTTTTCTATCTTATTCTTTTATTATTTATTATTCTTTAATTATAATTTTTGTAAATTCTTAACATTTTAAGCTCAATTATTCTTAATACGTCAATAAAGATAAAAAAAATGCAGCATCGATATCGCATTCGATAAATATACTTGCATGTTGCCAACTATTCTTAATGTGTAGTATTATACCGATGATTTTTATGCCAATCGTTTTAGGCTACCATCTCTAGAGTCTATACCAGGTCTTTTTGGAATTTGTTGCGAACACCGCGTGGTGTTTATGCTAGCAATTCCTTTTATTTTCCTTTTCTGTGCCGTGGAAAATAAATAAATAACTACAAAAATGAGTTTGTACAACTTTAAAAAGATCATGGTGGTCCCACCAGCAAAGGTAAGCATTTTAATTTGTTTACGTCTATCGAAGCACCCAGTGCAGGCGGCTACATAACCTTACATCTAATGTTTACAAAATGCGTAATATAAAATTTATATATTTATTTATATTAATGTGTTTTACAGGACTTCATCGACATTATGTTGTCCAAGACACAGCGCAAGACACCCACCGTCGTGCACAAGGGCTATAAAATATCGCGTATTCGTGCATTTTACACGCGCAAGGTGAAATACACGCAACAGAATTTTCACGATCGTCTTTCGCAGATAATACAGGATTTCCCCAAGCTTGATGATGTGCATCCATTCTATGCAGATTTAATGAATGTGCTGTACGATAAGGATCATTACAAACTGGCGTTGGGTCAGCTAAACACGGCTAGGCATTTGATCGATAAGTAAGTGAATAAGAATACTCTGTAAAAAATACAGATATATATAAATCATATTTGTAGTGTGGCCAAGGACTATGTGCGTCTGCTTAAGTACGGTGACTCTTTGTATCGCTGCAAGCAGCTGAAGAAGGCTGCTCTGGGTCGTATGGCCACCATTATGAAGCGTCAGGCTTCCAATTTAACATACCTCGAACAAGTGCGTCAGCATTTGTCACGTTTGCCGACCATTGATCCCTATTCACGTACCATCATCATTTGCGGCTTTCCCAACGTGGGAAAATCTTCGTTTATCAACAAAATCACACGCGCCGATGTTGAGGTGCAGCCTTATGCCTTTACCACAAAATCATTGTATGTTGGTCACACAGATTACAAATATCTGCGCTGGCAGGTAATTGACACCCCTGGAATTTTGGATCATCCGCTTGAGGAACGCAATGTCATTGAAATGCAGGCAATTACTGCTTTGGCTCATTTGCGTGCCTGTGTCTTGTACTTTATGGATATATCAGAGCAATGCGGTCACTCCTTGGAGGACCAGGTTGCGCTCTTCGAGAGCATTAAGCCTCTATTCACAAACAAACCACTCATATTGGCCATCAACAAAATTGACATACTTCAGCTCGAGGATTTGCCTGCAGAGCGACAAGCGATAATCACAAAGCTGCAGGAGGATAAACAGGTGCCTGTTATGTTTATGTCAACGGTGCAGGAGACAGGTGTGATGGAGGTGAAAACGGAGGCTTGTGAGCGCCTGCTCTCCTATCGTGTGGATCAAAAGATGCGCACTAAGAAGGTGGACAACATACTGAATCGCTTGCATGTGGCTATGCCTGCACCTCGTGATGACAAGGTTCGATCTCCTTGTATACCAGAGCAGGCGTTGGCACGTCTTGAGAAGAACGCTGTGAAGGCTGAGCGTAAACGCAAACTGGAGAAGGAGATTGAGGAAGAGATGGGTGATGATTACACTCTGGATCTGAAGAAGAACTACGAGGAAATTGCAGAGGAGGAGCGTTACGATGTGATACCCGAATTCTGGGAGGGTCGCAACATTGCGGACTACATCGATGCCGACATCTTCGAGAAGCTGGAGGAACTGGAACGCGAGGAGGGACTCCGAGAGGCTGGTGGGGTTTATGCAGTGCCCGACATGTCCATGGACGAGACACTCAAAGAGATACGCGAAATGGCCAAACAAATCCGTGGCAAACGTTTCGAGTTGCGCGACGAAAAGCGTTTGTCATCCAGAAAGAACAAGCCCATCATTCCGCGTCACAAGCAGCCCAAGGTGCGTGATCGTTCCGTCAAAAAACTCGTGGAAACCATGGAAGGACTTGGTGTGGATATGTCTGGCAATGAACAGGCCAATTTCACGAAATCTGTTATGGACCTGCGACGTGGTGTTGTCGCTGTTGGCAGCAAGACGACGCCCAAGCAGCCGCTGCTCGACAAAGAATCCTCAGCGGTGGTCAAGAAGACAGGCCAGCCATTGAAGCGTAAGCCGACACGTGATACGCTCGGCATCAAGGATGTTGCCATCAGGAAGAAGGCACAGATCATGGCAAAGCGCGACATTGCGAAGAAGGTGACACGAATGGGTCTTAAGGGCGAGGCGGATCGTTTTATTGGCACCAAAATGCCAAAGCATTTGTACTCCGGCAAACGTGGTACGGGCAAAACCGATCGTCGTTAAGTGCCTTAGATTTACCTATAGTTTTATCCTTATTAATCGCTGTACAAACTGCATCCTAGCAAACATCTATACAAAAGAAATGCAAGTTTTCTTAAATAAATATTCAAATGTTTGGAATATTTATAAAAAATAAATTTTTGTTCAATATAGGGTATTGGCTAGTCAGGATATTTGAAGGTCATCTTAATTTTTGCTCGCTGCCTGTTAATGAAAATTAATTTTTAACATTGAGTTTTCGGCGCTGCGGCAAAGCAGCTGAAGCTGCAGTGTAACTGACCTATTGGCCAACTTTGGCTCGCTGTTAACTAACATGCAAGGCTCTCTTCTCTGTTAACTTAGCTGCTCCAGCTGCTGGTGCCGCTGCTTCTGTTAAGTTTGTCGCAGTGAGCGTGGGAACCAAACAGTTGATGCCGTACTTTGAACACGCGCGCAGGCTTTCAGCTGCGTTCAGCTGTTGCTCGGCCAATAAATAGTTAATTCACAGTTCGCGTTTAAGACAAAATCACTTTGGATACAAACGATAAGCATGAAATAAACGTAGAATATACAATTGATTTGTTCGGCTGTCTACTGAAATGTAAATTGAAATGCTAAGCAAAACGCATCAAGTGTGAGGCTAATCAAAGTGGCGCGTGTTTGGCAGCAACAGCTCATTGCGTGTCAGTGTGTGCGTGTGTGCATGTGTGAGTGTGTGCGTGTGTGTATATGTATGTGTGCACGTAGCTGTATGAACATGTGTATTCCCTTTGTGGCTATGGCAACAACATCAACGTAAGCACACGGCTCCATTAGCAAAGTGTGTGGGTTACAGTTATTCTTGATGTTGAAGCTGTGTTTGTATGTTTTACGCACGCCGCGGCGCGTTACAATTACGACGACAAGAACAACAAGCAAGTCTGTAGCAAGAGCAACAACAAGAATAACTGTAACTGCTACTGCTGCTGTGCTGCTCACGTCTGAGTCTTCCTGGCGTATTTTTTTTTGAGCAGCTGCGTCTACTGCTGACTTTTTCTTTTTGAAGCTTTGCTTTTGGTTAGCTTAATTGACTTTGCTAGCGCCACAGCGTGCCTAGCAACCTTTTGCTCCATCGCGCACACAATATATACACAGTTATGCATATACTGCAGCTGCTGCTTTGTGCACTATATATACATATGTACATCGGTATGTATTTACATATCTACAGTAAAGCCTGTGCTTAACGTGGATCATTTTATGCAGCTTCAATTTCCCTTTTTTTAGAATTTTTAAAAAGCAATCATGCTTAAACTCTATTTTATTTTTTGTTTGTGGTGCAGCAGCTTTTGGAAATATTAAACCTAAAAAAGAATTCGTAAAAAATGCTCTCATTATTTGGCTAATCCTGGGATCCCATTTAATATGCAGTTCGCTCAAGTGAGCTTTTACTGTCTTCGTGCTTGAAACCTGCGCTGACAATTTCCATACAGTTATTTTAAATAATACGCACAAAAAAAGAAAGAAAAGAAATAGCCGCATTACCGTTAGCCCATGCCCGAGTGCCGACTATCATCGCACATGGCACAAGCAACAACAAGCAAAAGAATAATGGAAGCAGAACAAACACACACACTTTTACACATACAAGAGCCATTTTGCATATTGCTCTCCTTGTGTTGCTTCGTAGTAAACATTTTTCCGCTTGGCTAACGGAAGCAGTGCCATAAAACGCTTCCAATCCGACGTACTCATATGGCTATACACCTACAGGGACACAAACGCACACGCACACTCACACGCACACTAGTTCTTCGTAAATGTTCACAACAAAGTTTTTGATAGAAAACAGATGCTTGGACTAAAACATGCAACAGTATCGCATAAATAACAGACTAAGGCTAGCCAGATTGAAAAAAAAAAAACAAAAACAAAAAGAAAATCAGAAACAAGCAGTCCAACAGGAACAGTAAGAAAGTTAACAGATTGCGAGCGTAACAGCAACAGTAACATTAGCAGTGACCGCGAAAGCGACAGCGGCAGCAGCAGCGCTCGTTCTCACACACACTGTTAACACTGACCTATTGCCCGCATTGAGTGCGGTGAGTGGCCCTATCATGTAACGTAACATTAACAGCGCACTGTTAGAGGGGAAGAGAGGTATGCTGCTATATTCTAGCTGACAGCAGCGCCCTCGCTGTCAGTAGTGGCCGAGACTTCGATCTGTTCACATCGTTGGGGGGACACATACCCTTTACCGAATGTATATGATACAACAAACAAACAAACGCATATACACACGTATACGTATACCTACGCAAGTAGAGAACGGTCGAAAACTGCGCGGGTCGTTCCTCCTTCGGCTCCTCTTCCTCGCCTCATCCTAGTAAGTGAGCGGAGCGAATATCAGTGTTTGTGTGTATGCACGTTGCGACTTCATAAAAAATTCAACATCCTACAAAAGAAAAACAACAAGATTGCCAGTGGTATAAAATAAATATACAAAAAAGTATAAATAAATGTGTTTAAACAATGAAGTGCAAGTGAAACATAATATTTAAACGTTGAATAAAATTGCGGACTAAAAATAAAAAATCAACGTAAACAAATTGTTTGAATTTACTTTAAAATAATAATAAAATAAGCCAAATAGTCGAATAAACAAACTAGAAAACAATAATTTAACTTTAAATTAAACAGCAGTGTTGCGTTTTCTAAGAAAAGTCAACATAAACAATTCTTGAAATTAATTTTAAGATAATACGGAGTCGTAGTTACACACACACACACCTGCATCTAAAGTTTTTACGCGCATTTTGCTGCTATTGTTGCTGCGGCTGCTGCGCTGCCTAACTGTTAACTGTCTGTGTGTTCGCCTATGCTTTATCTTTTTCGCGTTCGTTTTTATTGTTTTTTGTTTGTTTCGAGCCATTTATTTGCTCTTTAACGCTGGATTCGGAGCTACATTTTGGAGCCTGTCGTTCCGGCTGCTGTTACATACACTCTCTCTTTCTTTCATACACGCACTTGCTGGCTAGCAGGCAGGTACACATACATGCAAAAAAAACTTGCCGCAAACCGTTTGCCCAGCACTTGACGTGCTCATCTATCTGTGTGTGTGTGAGTGTATATTTCGTTTCGTTTTTACATAAAGCGAAAAAAGTCCAACACATACTTTTACTTTTTTCTTGTGTGTTTTTTCTTGTAATACACATATAGAGATGTGTGTCTGTGAGTGTAGCGAGTATATGTACATTCAACAAATTGTTGAATCCAGCTGTGCCTTGTGATTTTTTTCTTCTTCCACTGGTGCCTCTGTTGCTGCCTCTGCTTCGGCTGCTGCTGCTGCCTGTGCTGCTACTGCTGTATTCGCGTCCTTCCCAGCATTTCACGCCCACTACTTGCGGCTGCTTCCGACGTCGTCAACAAGTTGAAGCTGTTGCCGCTGCCAGAATTTCAATTTGTGTGGCAACACGCCTCGCTCGCTCTGCGTGCTTGTGTGTGCATGTGTATTCGTGTGCGACGCCTTGAAGTATGTCAAAATTTTTGTGAGGCTCTCAAAGCTCTGCACAGATAAATTATGAGTGTAAATTGCCGTTGTTGCTTCGTGTCTAAGTATTGGCAACGTTTACGTGCATATAAATCTATAGATATATAAATATATATATATATATATATATATATATAGATATATATCTATATATATATATATATATATATGTTTGTATATCCACTCAAATCTTTGCTAGCTTTTTTGAGCAAACGTTCTTCCGAGTTAAGTAAACGTTTTTTTTCGTTCAGCATAAAATTTGCTTTAGAAAAGTTTTTTATTTGTATAAAAGCTAAACCAACATTGATTCTACAGTAAAGCTTCAAAGGAAGCGATTGTACAGTACAACATTTATAGTATAGTAAAGATTCTACAATTTGACTTCTTTTAAGTGAAGTTTCACTGTACACACATACATGCATATATATACATATATATGTATATATGTCAAGTTATGCATAAAAATCTATCAAGTTTCACTCTGACTAGCTGACAATTGCTTTTGCAGGCTTCTAACTGAATTTCTTTGTTATTGGTCGCCCAAATGTTCAATACCCAGACCCGCCGCCTATGCCTTCCCAGTTACGCCTTGAGCCTAAGGCGTTAAGCCTTGTCTAGAAGCTGCTCTATGATTTATATACTACGAACATACATATGTATGCAGTAAAAGCAGAAGAAATGGCCTGGCTGCTAATTGGAAAAGTCTACTGCTTAGTTGTTTTTGCTGCTGCGTTCAGCAAAAAAAAAACACCCAAAACCCCCATTTTCTACGCCGTCGTCTATGAGTCTGCTCGCAAAGAGGATGAAATATTTACCTAATTAAAATTAATGCACAATTAATTGTCAGCAAAATGCTGGCAACATTTTTTTGTTACCAAAAAATATATATATATATATATAATGAAACATTGCCGTGCAAATAAACAAATGACTCGTATCGTATATATACAAGCTTTATATGCCACATATTTAGGCATATATATGTATTATATGTATGCATATATGGTACATGTTGTATATATTGTACACACATGAGTGCGCAAAAGAAATAAAAACAATTTGTTGTGCTTTGAAGTGTATACGCATTGAGGAGGTGTTTATGGAAACGGTATAAGAAATATATATACATATATAGATATGCACATCTATATACAAACATACATACATACGAACCACAATTCGAAGTTCTCTACAGAATTCCCAGGGGACCCGAAAAATTCCAAAGAACTGCCTTTATTTTGTATATTTTTGATTGTCAGTCTAAATTAGCTTAACAAAATAGAATGTTGTCTGAAAAAGAAGGCTGTTGAACAAGTGTTGAACAACGTTTAATTATGTGTTTCGGAAGTGCGTGAAAGACAGCAGCTGAAAAATAAATATATATAAAAAAAAACAAATGTAATAAGTTTTAGATGTTTTGAGTGTTGATATCCAAATAAAATAATAAATAAAAAAAAACAGTAATAGGCGAATTATATGATTAATAACATTTTATAATTATAAAATATAATATAATATTCACGTTAATCTAAAGAATTATTTAAATTAAATTTTAATAATAATATAATAATGAAAAAGTGAAAATGCCATGATAAATAATAAAATATTAATAAAAGATATTAAAATTATGATAATGAAAAAAAATATAATTTTAATGTCTAAAAAAAAAAGATGAATACAATACAAAATTTCTAAAATTTAATAATTACTAATAATAATTTAAGAAAACATCAAAAATATCTATAAATAATACAATAAAAGAGAATATAAATAAAATTAATTATATAATATATAAATAATTTAATAATTATAACAACAAAGGCTTTCATAATAATAATAATAATAATAATTCATAATAAACATAATAATAATAAGTTATATAATATTTATAAATCAAATATGACTAATAACAGATTTTATTAAATAGTTTGACAACAATTAAAACTCAAATGGACAACAATTTCAACTGGATGCAAATATAAAATTACATATAGAAATATGTATACATATATGTATCTACATACTTATAAGGAGACCTCTTCCATCTTCAAGATTTAACAGCCTTAAAACAAAAGCGATATTTATTAAGCACACAACAAGCGATATAAATACTATAATGAACAAATGTGAGTATTTATTTGAATAAAATAGTTATCTACTATATATTCTTAAGCTGCTTACAATGCCGTGTATATAAAACCTAACAATTGTCTAATAAATCCATCACAGATTTAAGCCCCCAAGCAGCTATAACAAACTATCAGAGCCAACTTTTTATCTACAGTCTAAGCTAAATTTTTGCATTGAATAGATATCAGATGGTGTGCGTGTGTGTGCTTGGCCTTTAATCTCTGCCACAGGCTGCAAGTTTGTATTTGCCACAGCTTAGGACATGCTTTCGCATAAGCGACGGCTGGACATGCAGGCCGAAACAGGTCGTATGTGTGATACAAAATATAAGAGGCCAACAGGGCGTATGTGTAACGCAAAATAAAATATAAAAACTTGAAATCAAAGTTGAAATACTTCAGTCTCGCTGAGCTCAGCTCAGTCTAGAAGCTGTTTGAAAAGTTTTGTTCAAATACATTGTTATATATATATATATTTAGATATATGTAATGTATACACACGCATTTATATATATATATATATATATATATATATATATATATATATATATATATATATATATATATATATATATATGGGAAGATAATTGTATACGACTTGCCTGACGTCTCATTTTCTGCCTTATAAACATCCGTTTGAATTTTTCGGCCATCCCTTTTCGGCTTTCTTCTTGCCTTCTTTTCGCCTGCCCTGTCAATGGAAATGTATTTTAAAGTTTCGCATAAATCTGTGCACAGGACCTCAATATCCTTAGCGAAACACCGAAAATGTTTATTGTGTGCGGGTCGAATGTGTATTTTTGGTTTTTTTCTGGGAACGCGGCAGCTGCACTGCTGGCTACATATCGCATGAATGTCTATATGTATATATATACATCTATATATATATATATAAGGTAAATATACATACATATATATACACATATGGCAGCATATTGTGTTGGCAGCATAAATAATACAAATCTGCGTGGCATTGGCATGCGAATTTTGTTAGCTGCGTGGCTGGCGGCACGACTGGGCCAAAACCTTCTGAGCTTAAATCACAGGTATTTTGGCACGACTACACCTGAACGCAACTGTCTAAATTGTTAATCAAGCGGCAAATGCCAAGTAAATTAAACGTTTTTAATGGGGTTTGCCTTACGGGAATATACATAGCTCAGCTATCATATGTCAGGCTCATTTTGCTGCTGAAGGGAAATCAAAATTTGTTTAGAGTTGATTCCATAGGGCTCTTGATTTTAAATGAAGATTTTATTCGCTTTGATTTACAATATTTGAGAAATTTTCAATGATTTAGTTTAGCTAATTTTGTAAAAAATTGAATTTCTTTTTTTTTTTGTGGCTTCAAAGAGAAGAAGGACCTTTCTGAGCCCTTTTTTAATGTTTACTTATAATTATAATTGGGTTTTTTTCAAATTATTGTAAGATTATTGTATTTATATATGTTTATATACCTTGAAGTATATTTATAACTGAAATAATGTTAGAAGCTTATAAAAATCCAATGAATTTGGCCAACGTATGTCTCCCTCTATCCATTTCTACTTTGCACAACTTTCGTGTGCGTATTTCAGTATATATTCATCTTTATATATGGATGGATATTTCTCTCACTCTACCATGTAGACAGATGGATAAGCAGAGAGATTTATTTGTGAATCTATGAAAATATTTGGCAATTGGTAGTAAGATAATGCCTCGATGATCTGGTCTATGGTAACTACTGCTGTTACTGCTTCTGTAAATATTCGCCCCCTTTATTCATTATATCTATCTATCTATATATTTCAATTTCTAAAATGTGTCCAATTATTCCATAGCTTATCTAACATTTTAGCTATCTTACTGTCTCTATCTAGCATAACTAAATATCTGAATGTCTGTCCATCTATCTAATTGAACAATCTCTTTGCAATCTTTTCACTTTTAAAAACTTCTTAAGATGTATAAAAGTTTTCGCTCAGTGCATTGGCTGCCACTGTGACACAGCTTCTCGCAGCAATACGCAGCACAAGGACATGTCACACGGACACAAATACAGCTACAAATACAAAAGGCTTCTATTGTTGTGCTCGGTCGCTTTGTTGCCATTGTTGCGGTTAGCATATGACAACTCCTTAATCATCGATATATATATATATATATATATATATATATATGAATACATACATATATATGTATATATACTATACACAACGCGTCATATTTATGGCATAGAGCACAGCCTGTCGGGACATACATCATCAGCATTTGTTGCTTGACGTTGACTTTGCTTTTTCAAATTATCAGGCAAACACCCACACATACACACACACACACACACACACAACGAGATCTGCCTTGGGGTCTAAGTATTTAAGAGCAATTTCCCTTTTTCGGTTCTGTTGCGGATGTTGCATGGCCAACGCTTAACCAACAGCCCGATACTGGCTATTGGCCGTGCTCTGGCACAGTCTGACTGGCTATTTTTCAACAACAACAAACATCATTTATTCGACATTGAATTTATTTATTGTACACCCTTATATTGTGCCTAATTGATGAGCTTTTTAATAAATTATTGCAATTGCAAATGCAAGTCACAGCCGACAATCATAAATCGTAAATAGCGAACGATTGTCGAGCTGTGCTTAATGGCGTAAATCGATGTACAACATCAATTACGATATGTAAATATAGCCGTACGTTAATTTATTCGACTAACTGATACCCTGTAAATGTATATTTAAGTTGAGTTACTGCTAAACAGCAGAAATAAGTAAATGGCTTTGAAAGAGCTACTTTTAGATATATGAGCTAATATTTCTCATATAACTTTATATATATATATTATGAGAGAGAGCGAAAAACCTATAAAAGACTGAACATAGGGACACTCAAGCGGGTCAAGAGCTTTACGAGCGTCTATCAAACGTTTAGCTCTGAAAGTAGGGGAAACAAAGAGATACTCAAACTCAAGTTGCTCGTTAGCCTGACCAATAAAACTGAAAATAATAGCTAATGCATGTATGGTCTATATAAAAAGTAGTTTCTAGCTTCCCCAGGCTCTCCTTCACTTTTATTGATTCGAACAGAGATGGAAACTCTACTTCAGTTGGATTAAACGTATTTGTCTTTTATGCTAAGCTCTTCACAGAATTAGCTGTTAATTGAATTAGGAGCAGCTGCTGCGCTGGCTGTGCTAATCAGTAACCGAGCAAATGTCTAAAGGACATCCGCATTCGCATCCGCATCCGCATCCTCAGCCGCATCCTCAATTGTGCGTCCTTCACTCGATTGGGAGGCACTTGGAAAGTTTTCTTGGCATTTTGTGAAATTGAATATAAAATTCCTTTGGGCCGCTAGCCAAACGAAATGCAATTAGCATTGACAGTTTGTGGGCGTGGCAGGCGTTTTTATTTGACTAACTGTATATAAATCAACAAATTAAGGGTGCAACCGCATTGGCAAATAATATTTGCATAAACTAAATAGCCATTTGCCATTGCGGTCAGCATAAGCTAAACTTCATATGAGTCTGTATAAATACATATAAATGTATTTAAATAGCAAAATATACATGATAAATCATATTATATATATATTGCAATTAGAGTGAGGCCACATTGTGCGGCATTGATGAACTGATAAAGCGCTCAACTGACAAACTGAGTTAAGCCAAAAGTCAAGCTGAAAAGTCATTAAATAAGCAAAATGGCGAAAAGAAAACTGAGAAACGCTGTGCAACGAATAGTTAATGCTCTTAATGGGTGAGATATAATAAAATATATTGGCTAATAAGGGAGAATATAAGCAAGCAGACTCGATTGTTTGGTCTAGCCTTTTGTAAAAATCCTTTAGCAGAATTTCAACTTTTATAACAATGTTTTATTTTTTCTTTGTCGTCAAGGCAGAGCTAATCAAGCATTACTTAAAATCTCACTACAAGCAACCAAAATATTTTATCCATGTTAGTCTATCTAGTTAATCTTTCTCATCGGCTAAATCATTTAAATATTATACAGTAATAATAGATCATTTTTGGAAGAGTTGCATTTGAAGTTGAAGTCTGTGTTCTCATTTTTATATTATCTTCTATATTCACTCTTCTCTATTTTTTTCTGTATTCCATTTTCTCTATTTTCTATTGTCCCCTTATCAGAGTCTTTCATTCTTCTTTTCGAATTTAATCTATTCAGAGGTAAATTAATACACTTTAAAATATTTCTTATAAGTTTTAAATTATCTTTAGCC